TTCTTTACTTGATATTTCCTTGTTTAATTTTTTTCACCATTTTATTTTCAGCCTTGTCATGTTGCTTTGCTTTTGAGATGTCTCTTATAAGCAGCATATATTTGTATTTTAGGAATTTCTATTTTGAAATAATTTTAGACTAGCAAATAGTTGCAAAAATAGTACAAAGTATTCTTTTTTTTAAAGATTTTATTTATTTGGCAGAGAGAGAGAGGGCAGAGCAGGGGGAGCAGCAGAGAGAGAGGGAGAAGCAGGCTCGCTGAGCAGGGAGCCAAGTGCGGGATTCGATCCCAGGACCCCAGGATCATGACCTGAGCCGAAGGCAGACGCCTAACGACTGAGCCACCCAGGCGCCCCAGTACAAAGTATTCTTATATACCTTTCACATAGCTTCCCCCAAGTGTTTACATTTTAAATAGGCACAATACAATGATAAAAATCAGGAACTTAACATCAATACAATACTATTAATTAATTAATATGATATACTTAATTTTGCCAGTTGCAGGCGCCTGGGTAGCTCAGTCATTAAGCGTCTGCCTTAGGATCAGGTCATGATCCCGGGGTCCTGGGATCGAGTTCCACATCAGGCTCCCTCCCGGGGGGGGAGGCCTGCTTCTCCCTCTCCCACTCCCGCTGCTTGTGTTCCTGCTCTTGTTATCTCTGTCTCTGTCAAATAAATAAATAAAATCTTTAAAAAAAAATTTTGCCAGTTGCCCATTAATGTCATTTTTTTAGCCTCAGATTTAATCCAGGACATTGTCAAGTCTCCTTATCCTTCTTTAATCCTAACAATTTTTCAGTCTTTCTTTGTATTTCATGACCTTGACCCTTTTAAAGAGTACTGCATAGTTATTTTATTTTATATTTTTAAAGATTTTATTTATTTGACAAGAGAGAGACACTGCGAGAGAGGGAACACAAGCAGGGAGAGTGGGAGGGGGAGAAGCAGGCTTCCCGCAGATCAGGGAGCCCGATGCGGGGCTGATCCCAGGACCCTAGGATCATGACCTGAGCCAAAGGCAGACGCTTAACAACTGAGCCACCCAGGTGCCCCCTGTATAGTTATTTTATAGAATGCCCTCAATTTGGGTTTATCTAATCTTTCCTTATGATGACACTTATTTTTTTTTTTAAAGATTTTATCTATTTGTCAGAGAGAGAGAGAGAGCACAAGCAGGGGGAGCGGCAGGCAGAAGGAGAAGCAGGCTCCTCACCCAGCAAGGAGCCCAATGTGGTGCTCGATCCCAGGACCCTGGGATCATGACCTGAGTTGAAGGCAGACACTTAACCAACTAAGCCCCCATGCACCCCAATAATAGCCATTCTAACAGGTATGATCAAATTATGTATTTTTGCGAAGACTATGATATAAGGAATGTTTTGTGCATCATATCAGGGAAAGCATAATGGTGATATCTCTCTAGTTGCTAGGTTAAGACAACGTTCACTAGGTTTCTCCACCATAAAATTATTTTTCTCTTTGTAATTAATAAATATCTTATGGGGAGATACTTTTAAGACTATGTAAATATCCTGTTTCTCAGCATATATTTGCCTACTAATTTTAACATCCATTGATGACACTTGTCTAAAACAATTACTACTATAGTGTTTGCCAAGTGGTTATTTTCTACTTGCATCATTCTTTGTACATTAATTAATTAGACTTTTACTGTAAAGAAGAGCTTTCCTTCTCTACCTATGGAATAAGAAAGATATTTAGTCTTTGTCCCCAGTTCCTGGCACAGAGCTCCTAAAACCTCTGGAAGTTCCTGAGTGATAAGGGCAATAGGAATGTCTTTTGTCCTATAAAGGGGAGTCTTGGCAAGTGCCTAGGTAGCTTCAAGATGGGACTTGGGGGGCACCTGGGTGGCTCAGTTGGTTAAGCGACTGCCTTCGGCTCAGGTCATGATCCTGGAGTCCCGGGATTGAGTCCCGCATCAGGCTCCCTGCTCGGCAGGGAGTCTGCTTCGTCCTCTGACCCTATCCCCTCTCATGTGTTCTCTCTCTCTCATTCTCTATCAAATAAATAAATAAAATCTTAAAAAAAAAAAAAAAAAAAAAAGATGGGACTTGGGCACCAGAAAGACCAAACCTTGATTAGAAGCTTAGAACCTTCAGCCCCACCCCTCACCAACTGGAGAGAAGAGCTGAAGATTGAGTTAATTACCATTGACTATAATCATGCATATGTAATGAAACTTCCATAAAACCCTGCAAATGATGAGGTTTGGGGAGCTTCCAAGTTGGTGAACACATTCACGTGCTAGGAGGGTGGTGCACCCAAGCTCCACAGGCTCAGGACTCGTCTCGACCTTGCTTTTTTACTTCATTTGGCTATTCATTGATATACCTTATAATAAACTGTAATAGCAAGTAAAACATTTTCTTGGGCTCTGCAACTTGTTTAACCTGAGGGGGGTGGGCTTGAGGAAACCCCTGAATTTGTAGCCACGTCAGACAGAAGTGTGGATAACCTAGGACCTGATACTTGTGACTGGCATCTGAAGTGAGGTCAGTTTTGTGAGACTGAGCACTTAAATCTCTGGAGACTGACATTAATACTGGGTATGTAGTGTTCACATTGAACTGTAGCACACTTAGTTGATGTTGTAGGGTTGGAGAAATTGTGTTAGGAAAGACACCATGCATTTGGTGTCAGGAGGAAAAAATCCCTTGCCACCATTGTGGATTTGTATTTTATTTTACTTACAATCAGTGTTGTCCTGGAGCCAGATTATACTGGCTCAGAAGAGTCATTTGTTAACTTTAATGAAATTTGTGGGCTGGCTTTTAAATACAATAAGACACACACACATACCACCACGACTACCACCTCCACCACCACCACCACCACCAACGGAAGCAGGTTTTGTGCTTTATTTTGACCTTGCTTTTTTCTTTCTTTCTTTTTTTTTTTTTTAAGATTTACTTATTTGAGAGAGACAGAGAGAGAGGGAGGGAGCTGGGGGGGGGGAGGGACAGAGGGAGAGAGATAATCTCAAGCAGACTCCCCAATGAGCAAGGAGCCTGACATGGGGTTCGCTCCCATGACCCTGAGATCATGACCTGAGCTGAAATCAAGAGTTGGACACTTAACCGACTGAGCCACCCAGATGCCCCTATTTAGTGCTCTCTTATGTAACAATCCTGAGGTGACTGGGCCAAGTTTTCTGGCTGATTCTGCTCTAGACAGTCATTAAATGGATCTTACACTTTCCATCCAGTGTCTTCACCATTGCCTAGGGCAAGAGACTTTTTTTTTAATTGAAGAATAACTGGCATACAATATTGTATTAGTTCCTAGTCAGGGCAAGAGTTTTTAACCAATTTTTGTGCCATAAATTCCTTTGGCACTCTCTTCAAGCATATATACTGTCTCTCAAAATGATACATAAAATACATTTTTTAATGCATAAAATGAAATACATTTGGATTTAAAGGAAATAAATTATACTGGATTACAGTTATAAAATAGTTTTCTACATAGTTATATACTTAATTCATTAAACAACCTAATCTAACAATGGGCATAACTTTGAAGTATACTTGAGCATAAATGATATTTAGAGAGACCTGAAAAAATTGTAATGTGATATGAAAAATTTTTTGTGTGGCAAATTCATAGGTATTACTAATACCACAGTGTGATTCGTTGTCTACATTCATAATTGAAGAAAATATTAATTTCAGCTAGAGGATAATGAAGATAAGGATATAATATTTTCCTACCCAAGTTCATGAACCTAAGATTAAGAAACCCTGCCCTTGGGTGTGTCTTTCATTTGAAGCTGAGTCCTAGGCAGTGTTCTCACTTACAAAAAGGGGAAGAACATGAAAAAGTGTACACTCAGTGTTTTACTGTTTTTAAAAACTTTTTTGCACACTCAGTGTTAAAGTTCTACTCTGAAAGTGGTATATGTTACTACTGCTCACTAGGACTTAGTGGCCACTTATAGCTAAAACATAAGCTAGGAAACACAGTCTTTCACTGGGAGCCACATGTCCAAATATAACCATATTACCTAGTAAGTTAGCAACTGGCAATATCCTCCATGCTCTTGTAAGAAAAAATACTTTTTACAAGTTTTAATTTATAAACAGATATATGGGAGGGTGGGTTTCCTTGAGCATTTCTTTTTTTTTTCCTTAAGGTTTTATTTATTTATCTGTCAGAGAGAGAGAGAGAGAGAGAGAGAGCGTGCACAAGCTGGGGGAGTGGCCAGCAGAGGGAGAAGCAGGCTCCCTGCCGAGCAAGGAGCCCAATGTGGGGCTCGAACCCAGGACCTGGGATCATGACCCGAGCCAAAGCCAGACACTTAACCGAGCCACCCAGGTGTCCCTCCCTGAGCACTTCTTAATGTATAAACTTCATAAGCATTTTAATTATTTTTATATGTTTTAGTTAGATGAAATATATTTTTAAGTTGCAAACCTAAAGCACATAACCTAAGCTAGGGTGGAAACAGGGAATTAGCTCACCACAAGGTTGTGAATTAGGTAAAATTTATTTGTGTTTACAACATTTTCATTTCTACCCATTTTTTAAAATATCCTCTCCTCTTCTCTCCCATTTTATGAGCCTGCATCTTTTATCCTTTATTTCCATTTTATTTTGAACATTTTCAAACATACAGAAAAGTTTGTAAAAAATAGTATATTACTTATATGCCCTCCACCTAGGTTCAAAAATTGTTAATTGTTGGGGCACCTGGGTGGCTCAATTGGTTAAGCATTTGCCTTCAGCTCAGGTCATGATCTCAGGGTCCTGGGATGGAGCCCTGCATCGAGCTCCCTGCTCAGCAGGGAGCTTGCTACTCCTCTCCTTCTGCCTGAAGCTCTGTCTACTTGTGCTTGCTCTCTCTCTCTCTCTCTGTCAAATGAATAAATAAAATATTTTTTAAAAATTGTAAATTGTTAACATTTGCTTTATTCCTCTTTATTTTATATCTATATATACATTTGTCACGAGCACACTATGAATGCGCAGATACGAGTTGTGTCTTTCCACAATGTTGGTTTTATTAATCATAAAGCAAGGCTAACATAATTACAAAGCAGGTTCAGGATTCCAAACTCAATGACATTTTGTTACACATTTAACTTGGTTTCATACACATTAAACAAAGCAAAGCACAATACAAAGTCATACAACAAAGGGTGAGAAGTTAATAACAAACATGAAGTCAGTCCATGAGCGCACAGTTGAGATGAGGACTCAGTCCGGTCCAGGGCAGCTCTCAGTGCATGCTGTGTATTATGCTCTAGCAGTGGAGGATCTCTATTATGTTCAGAGATCAATCAGGCAGAGGCTTTGGCACCAGCTGTCTCTTCAACGTGGTGAGATGTGAAAGGGTCAGTATCTGGAGAGTCTGAGAGTTTGCTGCAAAAGTCCTTAAAGGAGTTTAATCAGTCTTGGGCCTTTGCAGGCCTCTTCTGGTTCTGCTGGTTATCAGTTCTGGACATCATCTGGGCATCTGTGCTGGTTTCAGCAATATCCAGTCTTAGCTACTACGCCCTTGGCTGCTTGACATGAGTCACTGCTTGACGTGAGTGACTCCATCTTGCTTTCTACAATATTTTTAAACAATTTTTTTTTAAAGATTTTATTTATTAATTTGACAGAGAGAGACAGCGAGAGAGGGAACACAAGCAGGGGGAGTGGGAGAGGGAGAAGCAGGCTTCCCATTGAGTAGGGAGCCCAATGCGGGGCTCGATCCCAGGACCCTGGGATCATGACCTGAGCCGAAGGCAGACGCTTAACGACTGAGCCACCCAGGCGCCCCTATTTTTAAACAATTTGAATGTAAGTTACAGATATCATGAAACTTCACCCCTAGATACTTCAGCATGTATGTCCAAAGAAATAAGGACATTCTCTCACATAATTACATTATCACTCTTAAGAAAATTAACAATAATTCCCTAATATCTAATATGCTTCCCATATTTAAATTTCCTAATCATTTCTCTCTCTTTTAAAGATTTTATTTATCCATTTGAAAGAGAGAAAGAGAGAGAGAGCGAGAGCATGAGTAGGGGGAAGGGGACAAGCAGACTCCCCTGCCAAGCAGGGAGCCTGACGCGGGGCTCAACGCTGGGCTCCATCCCAGGACCCTGGGATCATGACCCGAGTGAAGGCAGTCACTTAACCGACTCAGGTGCCCCAATTTCCTAATCATTTCAAAAATATTTTGCATAGAGGTGCCTGGCTGTCTCAGTCAGTAGAGCACGCGACTCTTGATCTCTCCATCTCAAGGTCATGAGTTCAAGTCCCAAATTGCATGTGGAGCCGACTTAAAAATTTTTTTTAAATGTTCTGTACAGCTAATTTTTCTCTAATATGCATCTTTTAGTTTGGCAACAGACCTTTTCAACTTTGAATGAAACTTCTTAACATCTAAGTAATGTCTATGTTTATCTAGACTTTTTATTTCTACTTGTGTAATTAAAGGTTTTGCATCCAATTAATTCAAAGACAGGAGGGGAGAAGACTTGCGTTTTTTCCATTAAGTGGATCTTTTGCTTGAACCTAATATTAAATTAGACCTAATGCTGTTGCTAAAAGGATGTAGGTCTTAATGGTTTTAAATAAGAAGGGGTGGATTACAGGGTATTCTGAGACTATCTGTGCCCATTTTAGGCCACTTTTGACCTCTTAGCTTTCTTTTCAGTTTTTCAAGATTTTCAAGATTCTACCTATGTTTACCGACTAGTCAATATGTGCTAGAGACATATAATTAAGATAGACATGGTCTCTGCCCTCAAGGGAGAAAGATCACTTAATAGTTTCAGTAAGAAGAAAACAATCATGTTTACTGAAAATGTACTCTACAAGAGCTCAGAATTGGTATTCCCTTTAATCCCAGCCTCAATCTTTTGCGTTCCCTGGCCCCGAGGTCTCCATATGTCAGACATCTGGGTGTCATTGTTATATACCATTTCCCGCGCCCTCACCCCCCCTGCAGTGCCTTAGCCTGGTGCTCCAACTCTCCAATCCTGCAGCATTGATGCTATTTATTCACCCCTAAAGCACCAATACACAAGTTCTAGGCACAAAGGTCCTGGAGCCTCAAGCCCTTTGGTCCCACGACTCCTGGATTACAGCTGGGGAAAAGAGAGTAACTGCCCAAATGTTTTAGTCAGCTATTGCTGCAATAATTCTGCAGAATACACCACTCCAAACTCAGTGATTTAAAACTACAAGCATTCAAAAATAAATAAATAGGGGTGCCTGGCTGGCTCAGTCGGAAGAGCATGCGACTCTTGTTCTTGGGCTTTGGAACCCCACATTGGTATAGAGATTACTTAAAAATAAAATATTTTAAAATAAAAAAAGCATTCATTTTCTTTTACAGGTCTGTGGGTTGCTTGCTCCTTGGCTATTCCAGGCAAGATACTTTTTTTTTAAGATTCTTATCTCTAGTCTCTGGGTTCCAAGTTCTAGGTTGAAGGTTGGGTTCACATGTGCTCCATGTGTTTATATAGCAGCTACCCAGGTCAAATCGCCACAGCACAGGAAGACAAGAAGCCTGTGTTCACATAATTTCCTATTACATCATCATATACTGTTGATTAAAGCAAGTCACATGGCCAATCCCCAAGTCAGCATGGCAGGGAAACAGAGTCAGAAGGGAGTAGAGTGAATTTTTGGGGAACACTAATGTATTAGACCAAGATTTCCAGGAAAAAAGGCACAGAAGGGGGTAGAAAGGATAGATTCAAGGGTAGGACACAGAAAAGCTAAATTCTGGCCATGATTAGAGCTGGAAAAGCCCCCCCAAAACACTACCTACCAGGAAGTAATATGGAGGACCCACCTTAGTGTGTGTAATGATAATAGTGATGAAATGCTATATAATAAAAAAATTCATCATAACCATCAAAAAAAAAAATGAAATCTTGCCATTTGCAATGACATGGATGGAAGTAGAGGGTATTATGCTAAGTGAAATAAGTCAATCAGAAAAAGATAATTATCATATGATCTCACTAATATGCAGAATTTAAGAAACAAGGCAGAGGATCATAGGGGAAGAGAGGGAAAAATGAAACAAGATGAAACCAGAGAGGGAGACAAACCATAAGAGACTCTTAATCTCAGGAAACAAACTGAGGGTTGCTGGAGGGGAGGGGAGTAGGGGGATGGGGTGGCTGGGTGATGGACATTGAGGAGGATGTGTGTTGTGGTGATGAGCACTGCTACTCTAGGCTGTGTAAGACTGATGAATCACAGACCTGTACCCCTGAAACAAATAACACATTTTATGTTAATTTAAAAAATAAATTAACTGGGCGCCTGGGTGGCTCAGATGGTTAAGCGTCTGCCTTCGGCTCAGGTCATGATCACAGGGTCCTGGGATCGAGTCCCACATCGGGCTCCCTGCTCCTTGGGAGCCTGCTTCTCTCTCTCTGTCTCTCATGAATAAATAAATAAAATCTTAAAAAATAAAAAATAAAAAAAATAAATTAAATAACTAAATAAATAAATTCATAAACATTGGTACTGCTGAGAGAGATGAAGAATCAACAAATGAGGAAAATATTACAATTTTATTTTTTATTGTATACGATAAATTATACCTCCTTGCTTGGGCTGCTTACTTTTTTTTTTAAGATTTTATTCATTTGACAGAGACACAGCGAGAGAGGGAACACAAGCAGGGGGAGTGGGAGAGGGAGAAGCAGGTTTCCCGTGGAGCAGGGAGCCTGATGCAGGGTTCGATCCCAGGATCCTGGGACCATGACCTGAGGTGAAGGCAGATGCTTAATGACTGAGCCACCCAGGCGCCCCGGCTGCTTACCTTTTATGATTCACAATCTAGGTACAATAACTACTACAAATATCATTAGATACATCAAATTGTGTTATTTTACTTATAGTAGAAAAGTTTATATGCCATTTATAGATTTTTGCCATGCAATTTGATTTTTTGATCTAAACTAGATTGCAAGCTAAGATAATAGAAACAAAAGAATATAATAGCTATTTTGCAGAAATTATTAATAGAAAAAATGGTTAAACAATTGGATTAGATTTAAGAGATAGATAAATCCAAGATATTTTTGTCTACAAGCCTATGTGACTTTTTGAATAGTACAATCAACAAAAGCCAGAGAGTCGTGAGGGGTCTGAGAAATAATCTATGATACTGTGATTTACAATAAAAATATATATATTTGGTCTTTGACTCATTCCTGGCACAGAGCTCCTGAAACCTTTGTAAATTCCTAAGAGATAAGAGCCCTGGGAGAATCTTTTGCTCTAACGAGGCTACTCTAGGTGGGCTCCTGGACGGCTTCTGGATGCAGGCTGGTAAGTGCAAAGACTAAGCCATGGTTAGAAATTTGGAATTTTCAGCCTCACACCCCACACCCCAGGGGAGAGGGGCTGGAAATGGAGTTAATAATTGATCACTGGTATATGAGGAAGCCTCCATAAAATCCCAATTCAGAGTGCTTCCAGGGTTAGTGAACACATCCGCACACCCCACATCTAAGGAGACAGAAGCTCCTGTGCTCAGGACCCTCCCAGGCCTCGCCCTATGTATCTCTTCATTTGGCTTTTCATCTGTATCTTTCATCATACTACATAATAAACTGGTAAACGTGTTTCCCTGGTTCTGTGAGCCACTTTATCAAATGAATTGAACCTGAGAAGTGAGTCATGGGAACCTCAGACTTACTGTTGGTCAGAAGCACAGGTGACAACCTGGATTTGTGGTTGGCCTCTGAACTGGGGTGGGAGTAGTTTTGTGGGACTAAGGCCTTAAGCTGTGGGATCTGATGCTATTTCCACGTAGATAGGGTCAGAATTGAATTCAGTTAAATTGTAGGACACCCAGCTGGGGTGGGAGAATTGCTTGGAATAGAGAGAAAACTCCCATACGTTGAAATTGGGTGCAGAATCTTATGACTGTCAACTATTCTTCTCAATCTTATGCAACACATGCTGCTTCTCTCATCCAGATTGCCTTGTGACTTGTTTTGACCAACGACCTATGGCAAAAGTTATATTGTGCAGTTAATGCTATGCAGTTAAGGACCTTTCCGTTAAGGGGTCTTCTTGAACATTTCAGCCTCAGCTGAGCTCCCAGCTGAATGTAGCCAGAAGAGTAGTCCTAGTCAATACCATGTTAGCAGGGATGCCTGGGTGGCTTAGTTGGTTAAGCATCTGCCTTTGGCTTAGGTCATGACCCCAGGATCCTGGGATCAAGTCCCACATTGGGCTCCTTGCTCAGTGGGGAGCCTGCTTCTCCTTCTGCCACTCCCCCTGCTTGTGTTCCCTCTCTTGCTTTCTCTCTGTCTGTCAAATAAATAAAATCTTAAAAAAAAAATAAAGTTAAGCATACACTTATAGCACAACCCAGCAATTCCACTCTGGTATTTATCCAAGGAAATGAAAACATATACCTATGCAAGGACTTGATCCTGAACATTTATAGCATCTTAATAGCTCTAAACTGGACCCAACCCAAATGTCCATCAAGAGGTGAATGAAGGGGCGCCTGGGTGACTCAGTCGGTTGGGCATCAGACTCTTGATTTTGGCGCAGGTCATGATATCAGGGTTCTGAGATAGAGCTCCAGGCTGGGCTCCACACTGGGCATGGAGCCTGCCTCTCTCTCCCTCTCCCTCTGCCCTGCTCCCCACTTCTCTCTCTAAAAAAAAGAAAAAAAGAGGGTGCCTGGGTGGCTCAGTTGGTTAAGCGACTGCCTTCGGCTCAGGTCATGATCCTGGAGTCCCCGGATCGAGTCCCGCATCGGGCTCCCTGCTCGGCGGGGAGCCTGCTTCTCCCTCTGACCCTCCCCCCTCTCATGTGGTCTCTGTCTCTCATTCTCTCTGTCTCAAATAAATAAATAAAATCTTAAAAAAAAAAAAAAAGAAAAAAAGAAAAAAAAGAAAAAAGAGGTGAATGGATAAGCAAATAGGTTTCCTTTTATTGCTAAGCAGCATTTCATTATATGGATGTACCATTCAGTGTACCACATTGTTTTCTATTCACTCTCTCTCTCTCTCAAATAAATAAATAAATCTTTAAAATGGCTCTACATGGGATGCCTGGGTGGCTCAGTCGTTAAGCGCCTGCCTTCAGCTCAGTCATGATCCTAGGGTTCTGGGATCGAGTCCTGCATTGGGCTCCTAGCTCAGCCGGGAGCCTGCTTCTCCCTCTGCCTGCTGCTCTCCTTCCTTGTGTGCTCTCGCTCTCTCTTGCTCACTCTCTCTCTCAAATAAATAAATAAAATCCTAAAAAAAAATAAAAAAACCAAAATGGCTATACAGGGGTGCCAGGCTGGCTCAGTCAGTAGAGCGTGTGACTTTTTTTTTTTTTTAAAGAGTTTTATTTTATTTATTTTATTCATTTATTTGGAGCATGAGTGGGGTGAGAGGCAGAGGAAGAAGAGAGAATCTTTTTTTTTTTTTTTTTAAAGATTTTATTTATTTATTTGACACAGAAGGAGAGGGAACACAAGCAGGGGGAGTGGGAGAGGGAGAAGCAGGCTTCCCGCACAGCAGGGAGCCCGATGCAGGGCTCGATCCCAGGACCCTGGGATCATGACCTGAGCTGAAGGCAGACGCTTAACGACTGAGCCACCCAGGCGCCCCAAGAAGAGAGAATCTTAAGCAGTCCCTGCACTGAGTGTCAAGCCCAATATGGGGCACAGTCTCATCATCCTGAGATCATGACCTGAGCTGAAATCAAGAGTCAGATGCTTAACTGACTGAGCCATCCAGGTGCCCCGAGCATGTGACTCTTGATCTCAGGGTTGTGAGTTCAAGCCCCACATGGGGTGTAGAAATTACTTTAAAATAAACTTCAAAAAAATAAATAAAATGGCTGTACAGTTTGCACTTCCACCAGCAACTCCTAATTTTTATGAACTGGATTGTGTCCCCCCACCCCAATTTTTCTGTTGAAGCCCTAACCCCCAGTGTGACTATATTTGGAGATAGATCCTTTAAAGATATAATAAAGGCTAAATGAGTTCATGAGGGTGAGGACCTAATCCAATAGGACTAGTGTCCTTACAAGAATAGAAGAGACACCAGAAGTCCACACACACAAAGGAAAGGTCTAGTTAGGACACGGTGATATGGTGGCCATCTACAAGCCAGGAAGAGAGGCTTCACCAGAAACCAGCCCTGTCAGCACCTTGATTTTTGACTTCCAGCCCCCAGAACTGTGAAAAAAATTTTCTGTTTATGCCTCCAAGACATATTCTGTGATAGCAGCCAGAGCAGACTAATCCAGGTATGTAGTGGTATTTCATTGTGGTTTTAGTTTTCATTTCCTTAGTGATTAATAATCTTAAACCTCTGTTTGTGTATTTATATGACATCTCTAGCTCTTGTGATGTATGTGTTTGTATATAATTATGAATATTAGTGCATCAAAACCAATTTTTGCTCTACAAATTTCTTAATTTGTTAGGATACTTGTTTTTACCATGATGCTGTGATTCATCAGCATCTGTATTTGCATAATCTTTGTAAAAATTAGGTTTCTTTTTTTGTTTTAGATACAAGGTTTTTTTTTTTTTTTTTTTAAGATTTTATTTATTTATTTGACAGAAAGAGACAGCGAGAGAAGGAACACAAGCAGGGGGAGTGGGAGAGGGAGAAGCAGGCTTCCCGCTGAGCAAGGAGCTGGATGCGGGGCTCTATCCCAGGACTCTGGGATCATGACCTGAGCTGAAGGCAGATGCTTAATGACTGAACCACCCAGGCGCCTCTCCAAATTAGGTTTCAATGCTGAAATTTTTAAATGAAATTTACAATAGTCTTCACAATGTTAGATGTTCAGATGTTTCACCTTAGACAGAATGACCTTCCAAAAACTTTATATTGATTTCGTGAATTAGATGAAAAAAAAAACTATTATTGAAATGAATGGATTTTCTGTTTGAAGCATGCAATAACACTGACATAAAAGCAGGCATCATTTTAACTGTTTGTAAAGTCTTATTCTGCTAATGGAGCCAACATACTAACAGCTATTGTTCCACGTTTCATAAGTGCATAAGAAAGCATTCAATAAAAAAATGAGTGAAATTAATTGAAACAGTCATTTGATCTAATGCATCACATAGTGGTAGGTAAGTGGGCTTTCTACACCTGCTCATGTTAAATTTTTGTCTTTCAGCATAGTCTTTTTATTTTTTTTTAAAGATTTTATTTATTTGACAGAGAGAGACACAGCGAGAGAAGGAACACAAGCAGGGGGAGTGGGAGAGGGAGAAGTGGGCTTCCCCGCAGAGCAGGGAGTCCGATGTGGGGCTCCATCCCAGGACCCTGGGACCATGACCTGAGCCAAAGGCAGACACTTAACGGCTGAGCCACCCAGGTGCCTTGGGCATAGTCTTTATAAAAAAAGTGCTCCCTTTTGAAGTAGATGCCAATGCTTTTTCAACTGATTTGTCTTTTGGATTTTCAGTAGTTGGTACAATCACTATGGCCCCCATGGTGGATGTAAATAGTGGCAAACACATTGTGCAAGTTACATTTCCATCATCAATGGAAATACAGTACTTAATTTTTCATTAAACATGTGTGTTATGGTTGAATTATGTTGTGTTCTTCTCCAAAATTCATGTATGTTAAAGTCCTAGACTCCAGTACCACAGAATATGTTCTTATTTGGGTCTAGGGTTTTGCAGATTTTTTAATTTAATTTAATTTTTTATTTTTATTTTTTTTTAAAGATCTTATTTATTTATTTGACACAGAGAGAGAGACAGCGAGAGAGGGAACACAAGCAGGGGGAGTGGGAGAGGGAGAAGCAGGCTTCCCGTGGAGGAGGGAGCCCGATGTGGGGCTCGATCCCAGCACCCTGGGATCATGACCTGAGCCAAAGGCAGATGCTTAACAACTGAGCCACCCAGGTGCCCCGGTTTTTGCAGATTTAATTAGTTAAAATGAGGTCATACTGGAGTAGGGTGGGCCCCTAATCCAATATGACTGGTGTCCTTATCAAAAGGCTAAATCGGGATACAGTACACGTACTGAAAAACAAACTGAGGGTTCTAGAGGGGAGGGGGGTGGGGGGATGGGTTAGCCTGGTGATGGGTATTAAAGAGGGCACGTATTGTGAAGATAAAGAAAGCGATTGGGGTGATGCCAAAAGATGCTAGAAAATGACCAAAAGATAGGGGACAGGCATGGAATAGATTCTCCTAAGCAGCCCTCAGAAAAAACCTACCCTCCCAATACTTCTTTTCAGAATTCCAGCCTCCAGAACTGTGAGACAACAAATTTCTGTTGTTCAAGCCACCCAGTTTATGGCACTTGTTATATGGAAGCCCTAGAAAACTAGTATCTGGGTCCATGTGTTGGAAGTAACCACATAATAGGAAGTTCTCTTAATTTACTATCATGTAGAAGAAAATGCTAATTTAACAAGGAATAAAAATGTGATACTTGGAGCTTATATATATATTGTTAATAGATCAATAGTCTCGGGGTGCCTGGGTGGCTCAGTTAGTAGGGCGTCTGACTCTTGATTTCAGCTCAGGTTGTGATCTCAGGGTTGTGAGATCTGGCCCCAAGTGAGGCTCCTCACTCAGCGCTGGGTCTACTTGAGATTCTCTCCCTTTCCCTCTGCCCCTCCCTGCTCATGCTCTCTCTCTCTCTCTCTCTCTCTCTCTCTCCTTAAAATAAATAAATAAATCTTTAAAAAAAAAAAAAACTCAATAGTATCTATAACAATTGCTTAAAACTTAAAACAATCAGAATTTTTCCGGTAAGAGTATTTTACCATTGCTACAGTCATAGTGCAAATAAAAAAATCAAACCAAATTTTAGTAAGTTTTAGCATTGTTTTAAAATTCCCTTGGCAGGGCACCTGGGTGGCTCAGCCGTTAAGTGTCTGCCTTTGGCTCAGGTCATGGTCCCAGGGTCCTGGGATCGAGCCCCACATCGGGCTCCCTGCTCAGCGGAAAGCCTGCTTCTCCCTCTCCCACTCCCCCTGTTTGTGTTCCCTCTCTCGCTGTGTCTCTCTCTGTCAAATAAATAAATAAAATCTTAAAAAAAAAAAATTCCCCTGGCAACGTTTCAGAAGCAATCAGGATAAAACAGCATTAGATAGTCATGCTGCTAGATCTTTATTATAGAAAACATTTCAAGTTTACTCATTCTGTTTTGATTTTTGTAGCAGTGTATTCACACTGGGTATTACCATATAAATAATCTGTGAGTGAAAGTTGCCATTATTTATATAGTGGCTTTAGGATACTTAACAAATACATTCAATTCTTGCATTATTATTAATTTGATTAGGTATGTTTGTAACTTTTTACATTACAAAATATGAATGAGAATGTGCCATGTATATTTTTTTTCTTGTGATAAGAAACATCCAGAATTGTGATGCCTCCAGCTTTGCTTTTCTTTTTCAACATTCCTCTGGCTATTCGGGGTCTTTTCTGGTTCCATACAAATTTTAGGATTATTTGTTCCATTTTTTTGAAAAAAGTGGATGGTATTTTGATGGGGATTGCATTGAATGTGTAGATTGCTGAGCGAAATAAGTCAATCAGAGAAAGACATGTATCATATGACCTCACTGATATGAGGAATTCTTAATCTCAGGAAACAAACTGAGGGTTGCTGGAGTGGGGGGTGGGGTGGGAGGGATGGGGTGGCTGGGTGATAGACATTGGGGAGGGTATGTGCTATGGTGAGCGCTGTGAATTGTGCAAGACTGTTGAATCACAGATCTGTACCTCTGAAACAAATAATGCAATATATGTTAAGAATAAAAAAAAAAGAAGATAGCAGGAGGGGAAGAATGAAGGCGGGGCAATCAGAGGGGGAGATGAACCATGAGAGACGATGGACTCTGAAAAACAAACTGAGGGTTCTGGAGG